GACAGTGAGTTTTAGGGGGCTGAGGCTGCATTTAAATTGTCTTCATGACATGAGAAAGAGATTCACATATGGATGGATATTTAATAAATGCGTTTTTTTTTTAATCTTGAGGAGGAAAAAAGAAAGAAGAAACCCCATGTCTGTCTCTTTCTTTGTGGCCTCTCCTTGAAGACTTGACTTTCTATCAGATTTTACATCAGAGCCGAAGATGGGCCCTGACCCTTGGAGCAGGGTGCCTCTATTGATGGAAATGAACCATGTGCAGAAGTGATGGTTTTGCAGTGGGTGCCTTCAAAGGGGGTGCTCACTGCTTCTTGGAGACAGAGAAGAAGCAGTCATGAGAGTGGTGAGACCCCAATATTACTCTGGTCTTTTCCCAGAGAGAAGAGGGGCATTGTGGCCATGACCCGTGGTGGCTGTCCCACTCTGGTCATATATAGGGCAACTCCATATAAACAGGCCCCCTCCTTCTGGCCCCTTTCTGCCATTTTGGCCCTGAAATGACTCTTGAGTATCGTGTCCTCTTTTTTCCAAGGCAGTGGCTAATACCAACATGGCTGGGGAAGGGAAGGATGACGGACTGGGCTTTAGACACTGACTTCCTGAGGGCCATGGGCATGTGGGTTGGGGAGGCGGGTCTCCTCCTCACCCCTTTCTGGCTTTCTGACGGCCAGGCTCTTCAGAAGGCTGGTGACTGGTTCACACCCACAGAGCAAGATGCCTGCAAAGCAATGCTTCATGCCTTTCCAGGAAGCATGTGCTCTGGAGAGACTTGTGAAAAAAGACTAACTAGCCAGCAAGTTTTCACTCCCGCCCCACGTTCCACAAAGCAGCTCTTGTCAATGTCAAGGCACCAGTGAGCCCCCCACATGAAGTCCAAGGGTCAGTTTCCAGCCCCATCAGCAGCACAGATACCATCTAACTTTGCATTTCCTCCTTTCTTTCTGGCCACACCTTTTTAAGTCTCTTTTGCTGTTTCATCCCCACCATCCCAATCTCCAAACCAGTAAAGCCAGGACCTAGTTCTTGAATCTCATCTTGTTTCTGTCTACACGCATTCCCCATTGGTCTCAACCAGACAAGCGGGTTTAAGTATCTTCTATATGTTGTTGACGCCCCCAATTATAAATATATATTTTTGGGTTGGAGTCTTACTCCAGGCTGAAGTTGCCCAGGCTGAAGTGTGGTGGCACACTCATGGCCACCGCAGCCTCGACCTGCTGGGCTCAGGCGATCCTTCCACCTCAGTCTTCCAAGTAGCTGGAACTGTAGGCGTGCGCTACCACATCCAGTTAATTTTTTATTTTTGTAGAGATGAGGTCTTGCCAAGTTGCCCAGGCTGGTCTGGAACCTGTGAGCTCAGGCAATCCTTTCATCTTCGCCTCCCAAAGTGCTGGGATTAAAGGCATTAGCCACTGTGCCTGGCCACTCCCCCAATTATAATTCAGTTCCAGATCACTCCCCTGGCCTCAGATTTATTCCCTGTTGCCTCCTAAACGTCTCCACTTGGATGTGTAATAGGTGTCTCACCTATTCTCCCTTGTCTACTTTCATGTCATTCTGCACATGGCAGCCAAACAGATCCTGTTCAATGCCTGGTAGGTCGTGTTACTTCTCCACGCCAAATCTCCAGAGGCCGTTGGGCTCACTCGCAGTAAAAGTTCAAGTTCCTATAACAGTTTGCATGGTTCACTCCCTGGGCCCCCCTGGCTTCATCTCCATCACTCATTCCCTTCTCTCCAGCTCCTTGAGCCTCCTCTGTTCCTGACCCACCAGCCATGCTCCTGCCTCAGGGCCTGCTCATTGGCTTTCCCTCTGTCTGGAAGGTTCTTTTCCTAAATATCTGTATGCTACGTTTCCCTCCGGCCTGCAAGTCTTTCTTCCTAGCATCGCCTGCTCCATGAGATAGTCCCTGGTCACCCCACCTAAAATCACAGCTCTCAACACTCTGCCACTCTTTCACAGTTTCATCTTTCTCCCTGGTCCTTATCACTCTCTGACATACTAATTAATTTCTTATCTGTCTCCCCACCAGAATATAAGTCCCATGAGGCCAGGGATCTTTGCCTCCTTTGTTCATTGTTTTATCACCAATGTCTACAACAGTGCTTGACAGAGGGTAGACCTTTAAATTGTGGGTGGAGGGATGAATAGAATATATTTTTAGTGTATAATTTACTGGCCACTTCATTTACTCTCAACTTGGTGATTCTCTGTTATCCTTCTAGCCCCTGTTTCTTCTACTTCCTCGGTGGCTCTTGTAGTCTAGAAAAACTGAGTCACTGGGCAACTCTCCCCAGGCATGCTGGGCCACCGTGCAATGACATGTCACTGAGTGGTTCCTGAACCCAGCACCTCCTCATCAGTGCCTCATCCCAGGGGCATCTGGGTGCCGTGCTGATGGAGGGGGGATACCGCCCAGGGTAGAAACAGAGTCACCAGAATCACTGATGGAGCGTGACCTGTGACCAGACCTTTTTTCCTTAAAAGACAACTTGGTTTTCGAGCTAAAAGAAACTGGAAAACATACCATGCTGTAATCTTTTAGAAATTTCAAAGGCTAAGATACTATAGTAATCGAAACACATGTTTCCACTTGAAGCAGAATTTCTCCCCTTGTGTTCGTTTCAAAGGCCAATGTATGGCAGTTCTGAAGATCAGGATACAGTGTCCGAGCAGTAGGCCTGCCTTTTCGGCAAATCTGTCAGGCCTCCGATCTCTTAAAAATTTAATCACATCAACTCTGCTCTTCACTGGACTTCCCCAGTCAACCCAGTTCTCTGGTCTCCCTTCCTGGCTCTGTTTCCAAGTCTCAAAGGTTCTACTTCCTCACCCATGCCTATCTTACTCTCTCTACCATGCTTGTTTGGCTGTTTATTCCCACGCTCCATTCCGTGAAACCACCCCATCAGCATTTCCACTAATGAAGGAGCCAGCCTCCCACTCGAGTCCTCCTACAAGGAGCAGATCCCAAAGGTCCCTTCAGCCATAAGGAAGCAGCACAAGGTGAACGGATCATGTCTCATCTCCAGAGGCTGATGTCATCTATATTTGGGCTTATGATGCTCTTCTCAAAGCTTGGCCAGACACCTGGGTAGATGGGCCTTGTCCACGTGATCTGCTCCAGCAGCAGGGACTGTTCCATGCTGAGAAGTTCCCTCGGAATTCATTCATTGAATGGGCAAGACAGAGAAGCAGCAACCCTCTGTTCCCCCTACTGGAAGCTCCTGCTGTAGCCAGACAGCAGAGTAACCAACCGTGTGTCTCTGTGGATGGCAATAGGTTTCTAAGCAAGGAATGGATATTGTGCAATTTTAATAACACATGCTAGGAAAAATACTCATCACCATTAATAATGAGCTAGGGGCTCAGACCTAGGATGAAGCAAGAAGCCAAGATACGAATTCCTGTGTTTTAGAGGCATGCTTCTCCGGGGCTCACAGGCCGATTTATTTATCTACCATACCACTCAGTGCCACAAACTAATCAATGAGTTCGCAGTTCCATCACCAGTGTAATAGAAACTGTCAGGCATTTTTCCAGAAAGATTCTCAACGGCATCACCGCTCATGGTTATAATCCATCAAAGGCCCCATTGTCTCATTTGCAAAACTACTTAGCAGAGCATGAAGGCCTCCTTAGGTTACTAAATTATGTTGTTACCAGTCCCTTGTTGTTTGTGTGCCTTAATTTTGTGTTTGCTCCTTGAGCAGAGTGACCAGAAAGGGTGTAGTTGGTAGATTTATTAAATCAGTCTTTTGAACGGAGGGTACAGAGAGTCTGCTTTCTGTGCACATCTTTGACTGTCCCTTCTTCCTCTACCTGTTCCTGTCTTGGTGGGTCTTCCTGTCGCCCTCTCTGCTCTAGGAAAAGTCCTGGCTTCCTGCCCTTAGCTGTGTGACTCCTGACTGGCTTTTTAACCTGTTTGGTTCTGACTCCTCTAGATGTTCAATATTTAGGGAACTTTTTAAAAGTCAGGCTGCTTGGAAGCACAGAAATGTACCGACTCAAACATGTATAATGAAAGAGAAAGATATTGCACACAGAGAAAGGAAGAAAGAATGTGCATAGGGCCACAGAGGTCAAGGTCAAACAAGATACACACAGTAGTGAGAGCTAACCCCACCAGTTCTCAAATTCACTATGCATCTCCATCATAGACGGACACCTGGGCCCCACCCCCAGAGTTTCAGTCAGTAGGTCTAGAGCGGAGCCCAAGAGTTTGCATTTCTAAGAAGTTCCCGGGGAATGCTGGTGCGGCTAGACCAGGGACACACTTTGAGAACGTCTGGGCTAATCTCATAAGAGCCTGAATTTCCACCATTCATCATCTTTTATGCATGTGCGAGTCAATGTCATCTATTACTCTCTCATTTCTATCCCAGCAAGAGTCTATCCAACAATCTGTCACGTGAAGCCCCAGAGGAAGGGATCTGACTCACTTTCTGTAATCCAACTGGATTCTGCCAGATTCTTCTGGACTTTCCCCACCCTCCCATTAGCACTTCCCCATTCTTTGAGTCTAACCTCCACAGGAAAAAACTTTGCCTCCCTTTTCTATGAGAAAGCTTAATAGTGTCTGGAAGTCTACCTCAAAGGAGAAGAGAATCCCACACGAGTATCAAATTTTCCAGGTAGCTGCTTGGCAGAAACTGTTCCCTTCAAACAGGCCCGGGACAGGAAGCCTGCTCCAAAGAGATGGAGCCTGGAGGAGGAGGATGTCTGGTTTAAAAAAAGCTTTTGCCTTTGCAAAATCTCAACTGTCTTTTAAGGTCAAAGATTCTAAAGGCATATGGGGTTTTCTAGATCAACGGCAATTATTTCCCACGTGTGACTGATTTCTATGAGTAGCAAATGACTGATCAGTGAGACAAATTCTGCCCTGGGAAGGCAAAGCGTGGGCTGTAAAGAAAGGCGGGTTGTCAAGTTTTTGTGTTGGCCTTGATGCTGTCTCCTCTCTCTCCTAGAACCCAGCCCAAAGACAGAAGACGGCTGCTCACTGTTTCGGGGTTTCTCCTCATCCATGCCCTCGTCCTCGTTTTCGGGGTCGATGTCTTCCGCCTGAGTGATCCAGTCCAGGTAGCCTTTGAGGTCCTCTTCCAGCTGCTGCTTCTCCCGAAGCTTTTGGAAATCTCCCCGGGCCTTGGCCTTCTCCCTTTCTTTGGAAAACTCTCTGGCGAGAGAGTGAGAGGAGTGGACAGGGCGAGGGAGCACGGAGGAGGGAGCACAGAGAGGGGTCGGGCACAGGAGGAGAGGTGGAGATAAGGAGAAACAAGAGTCTTAATCGCTTTGCACCGAGACAGCTACCCGCATACCCCCTATTTCTACAGACAGCTCTCTCTCGTCAGCCCAGGTTTCGTCTTACTGTCACTGAGATGGGAAGCAGTGCTGAAGGGGACATTATTGACACAGGCCAGGAGAGTCTAAGGGGATGGATAAAATCCACTGATCTCCCTTCTGTCTGGATCATGGTCACAGGCTTTGCCTTTTCACAACAACTGTTCTCCAAAGGCCTGGAAACGCCTTCCTAGCAGTCACTAAAATACCTCCACAGCAGGTACGGAACATGCATTTTCTCCTCACTCAATACTGGGTGGCAATTTAACTTTAAAGTCCCACAAGGGTCTCCAGGTGACTCCAGGTATTGGGACCAGCGGTGTGCTCACTCACTCGCACCGGATCCTGAGAGCCAATCATGCCTACCTCTTCTCAACTCTGGCTTCAGGGATGTCTCGCTGGTAGCTGGAGATCAGCCATGGTGGGAATATTTACACCATGGTAACTGGCAAATGCTAGAAACCAGGGCTTTCCCTCCAGAGAGCCGACTGTTAAATATTTACCAGAATATCACTGATTTAGAATCCAGGAGATTTAATCTCTTCAATCTCTATTCTTATTCCTAGGACTCAACCTGCTCCTCTTAGCATGCCTGGAAGGATTTCTAATCTAGAGAAGGCTCTCTCCCACAAGGAGACAAATGAGAATTCCAAACACAAGAAAATGTCCTGGGGGCTGCCCTTTTGGTGAAAAAAAAAAATCCAATCAGAATAGAAAAATACATAAAATCCAGATGACATAAAAGGTAAATGATGCATTCACTTTAAAGCGATAATGAGTAGTACATGGAATTGGACTGGGATTTGCTGGAAGAAGGGCTTATTGAAACATTTCTGACAGAATGACTTTTTCTTTTCTCGTTCCTATGAGTCTGTCCTAATTTTCTCTCTGACTTCAGATTCACTTTCTGAGCAAGGAGGAGGCTGGCAGCAGAAGGCAAGCTTTAACGAGACGAGTTCTCGACTTTCAGAGCAAGTCTGTGCCTTTTCTTCCAAAATAGGGATATGGGAATATTTTTGTCTTTGATATGCGGTCTACGGGGAATGAAGCCCTCCACAGCGTGTGTGTGTGTGTGTGTGTGTGTGTGTACATGCATGAGGCACCTTGGTTAATTCTTGGAGCCGTGATTCCTCCTCCCACCAGTGAAGGCCTACCTCAGGACAAGGGGCTGCTGAAACCACCTTGAAGAATTTCGTGCATGAGCCACCCACAAACCAAAGGGAGATAAGAGGCTCTGTCCTAAGTCCCCTACCGTGTCAGGGTGGCTCCATCGCCACATACACTGTCTAGTGTTTCCATTTTGCCTGTGACACTCAGGAGAGCACAGATTTGAGCCCACGCCTTTTTTTTTTACAGTGAAATGGGGTTGGGGCCAGGGCGGGGTCTAGAGAACTTTTTAATTGGGAGGATGCAGGGGTTCTCAAGCTAATGAGTTCTCTTCAACCGCTGCCTTAATGATGCTCTGGTTTGGATTGAATTTTCTTCTTAAATTTGATTGAATTCAATTCTAATTGGATTGAACTTGCTGTTTCTTGGGCTTCCTGCCAACCAGCAGGTACCTTCATTTCCTTCCCAGAGTTTTATGCCAGGGAGAAGGGGCCAGATTGACAGCTCACAATGGAGATGGAAGCTTTGTGTTGCTTTCGTCTCTCCCTGTTGGGGATGGGCATAGAAAAATGCCAGCCTCCTTTCCCCAAACCTCTTATCCCCTATACTTGGTTGAGCCTCTGGGGGCCATGGTCTTGCTCCTGGAGACATAACTTCAGATAGCATTTCCCTCCCTATGCAAATCAACTTCACAAATTGGGTCTCAAGGCCCCTTCTCTTGATGTCTTTCTGCCTGCACCCATTTGCCCTCCCCTGGGGTGGGTGCGGGGGTGTAAAGGACTGAACAGTCCAGAGCTTGCTTTCGCTCTTTTGGGTGATTTTGCAAAGGGTTCAAGTTTTGGCTCCAAAACACACACCCATTCTTCTTTTGGTCTTGGGAGCAGAGGACTGACATCCAGCTGGAGTAGAGACAATTGGCTCAGTCCTGTTTTTTTTTTTTTTGAGTTGGAGTCTCACTCTGTCGCCCAGACTGGAGGGCAGTGGCCGCTCCCGGCCACACCGCAGCCTCGACCTGCTGGGATCCTTCCGTCTCAGCCTTCCGAGTAGCTGGAACTACAGGCGCACTCTGCCACGCCCGGCTCATTTTTGATTTATTGTAGAGATGAGGTCTCGCCAAGTTGCCCAAGCGGGTCTCGAACCCACGGGCTCAGGCAATCCACTTACCTCAGCCTCCCAAGGCACGGGATAACAGGCTGAGCCACCGAGCCCGGCTCAGTCGTGTTTTATAGCATCTGTCCCATGGAATGAAGCGCACCACGTGTACCCCGAGATCTCTGGGGAACGAAAATAAACACCCGCCGAGGGGAGAAAAGAAAAACAAGGTGTGTCGATGATTCTGACTCGCCTGAAGGTATTTTCTCTTGTAGGGGAAGGGCTGGTTTTGGGGTCTCGAGGAGAGACAGAGACGTGGGACAGTCAGATCTAAAGCACCGCTGGCAACTATGGAGCTTTGGGCTTGAGGCCGGATGACAGGTGAGTCACTGCTTCCCTCAGCAGGACCCGCGCTGTGAGGGACTTGTGGGTGGCAGCGCCTGGCTCTCTTCATCTCCTTGCCTGGATGTCAGCCATGTGCCCACTCTGGGGACTGAGTTAATGAAGACATGGTGCCCCAGCCTGACGGGCTGCGCCAGGCCCAGAAATCAAAGCCAGCGAGACAATCAGTCACAGCTGTGGGATTTGTCACAAGACAGGAACGCAGCTCTTGCCAGCAACGGCCGACATGAAAAACGAGGGGTGTAGTCAATATCTGTCTGGGGACGGGGAGACACCCCTTATCAACAAGGGTGCCTGAACGATACATATCTGTATACCTAACTCTTAACGGTACCCCACAGTTTTAAAATAAAAAATGTTTATAAATAAAAAAAAAAGGAAAAACGAGGGGTTGAGTGGAGATCCTGGGACCAGTGTTCAGTAGCGTCCACATACAGAGGGAGGCACCCATGGAAAATCCAGCCAACCCAGAACCAGTCTGGGCCCTAGGTCCTCTGTTCATCAGGGCAGTTGACTCCCGCTGTTTGAGGGCGCCATATTTAAAAATTCACCTACTCGATGAAATTGGTTTGTAGCCCCCAAATCAATGCTTGTGGCACCTTCACAGTCCTCTGCGGACATGAGCTGAGGTCAAACAAGGTGACGCCCTGCCTTTCTGATTCTGCTCTCTTACTACAAACGAGTGTCCCTTTTGTGGTCTACTTCGTACCATGTTTGTTGCATTTTTGTGCATTTTTGCTGGCGATTCTGCCGCTTAAAATGGCCCCCAGTGTCGTGCTGAAGTGCTGTCTAGTGTCCCTAAGCGCAAGAAGGCGGTGATGTGCCTTCCAGAGAAAATATGTGTATCAAATAAACTTCATTCAGGCGTGAGTTACGGTGCTGTTGGCCACGAGTTTAATGCTAATGAATCAATAATGTATAGTAAATAAGGTGTCTTTAAACAGAAACACACATAAAACAAGGTTATGTATTGATTGGTTGATGACATATTGTGACCAGAGGCTCACAGGAACCTAATCCTATATTTCTCCTACGACCATTGGTTCACTATTCACTAAATCACTGTTGGTGGTGACTTGAAAGGACATGGCTACCATGAATAAGGAGCATTGACTGTATCTGTGGACAAATTTTCTGCTTCCACCCACAAGCCATGTTTGTCCTGGCCTTTTTTTTTATTGCTTCTTCTGGATCTGAATACTGTGTCTTAACTGTGGTGCCATGGCTCAGTGATACTGCCAGGTTATAAAATGCCTACCCACTATGTCCTCTGCTTTTTAGGGGCAAGAGACACGCCCACCTTCCAATAAAAAAAAGGATGAGAACTCTGTAAGAGATACCCTGTCATCCTAGCACTTTGGGAGGCCAAGGCGAGAGGATTGCCTGTGCCTGTGGGTTCAAGACCAGCCTGGGCAATATGGTGAGACCTTGTCTCTACAACAAATCAAAAAATTAGCCGGGTGTGGTAGTGCATGCCTGTAGTTCCGGCTACTTAGAGGGCTGAGGCGGAAGGATCACCAGAGACCAGCAGGTTGATGCTGGGGTAGCCATGAGTGGGCTATTGCACTCAAGCCTGGGTGACAGAGTGAGACTCCAAGTCAAAAAAAAAAAAAAAAGATACCCTGAAAGCACACAGCCAACGCCCTCTGTTTGCAATCACTTAAAAACAAAAAGTAACCAGATTCCAGGGTCCAGAGACTTCCACCTGATTACAGCTTCAAGTGCGATTTCAAGAATCTCATCATCACTGTTGTCATTTTGATTCTAGTAGGCTCGGAAAATAATTATAGCCTGATTATTATCTAAACTAATACCAGCCCTATGTCTTGTAGAGGGTTGCTGTCAGGGTTGATAATGAACACAGGAGCATCTTGAAAAAATCCAAGAGATGTATATTCTTTACACTCTATTTGGCCTCATTAGAAATAGGGTGCTCTGATTACCACAATACTATAAGAAAAGGATTGGCAGTAGTGGGATACTGCCAGGGTGAGGCCAGGTTGTGGGCCACAATATCAATAACGGTATCTGATCTCAAACCAGGCAAAGTGGGGACCAAAGGGAGGCCCTAACTTGACCTGTATGATGACCACTTGTATAGCTAATCCTGAATTATAACCCACATCCTTAAAATAAAAATTTTAAAAAAAGAGAAATAGGGTGTTCTGGATGTGTGGGTGCTCCAGATAGAGGATGACCAAAATCTTTGAATGTCCACTTTTAAATGGAAGTTTT